AAAAAAAAAGAATAAAAAAATTGAAATGTGTTAAGTGTCAAGAAATTCTTGGTGAGAAATTGACACAAAATTTATTGAGTACTTGTTCCTTTCCGAGTCGCCTGAGACGTGGTATCAATTTGTAACTTAGAAAGAAGGCTTTTTTTATTGTCTGAAACTCTGTTTTCAGAATTCATTGCAGGTAAGTCTGATCTTTTCAAAGAATTTATATAGTTTTTTCTTTCTTCAAAATGTTGGACTCGATCCCATGGCCTAGAAATTGAGGATTTGGTTTTAATGTTTGSTGGTTTTACTTTTTCGCATCGAATCATAASCGCCTTGCTATTGTGGTCTGGCGTTTACTATYCTCTGRTGTTACGTAACTACCATGTCTCCGTCTTTAAATAGCAAGCAGTTGGATAAGTCCCATCAAATATGTGCCTGGGGTTTTCCGAGTTTTCATTGTAAAATTTTTGAAATATACTTTGTCGTCTATTGCATCTTATCTTTTTGCATCTGAATTTGCATTTGCAAGATATCTGAAACAAAACTTACGAATAAAAACCGCATTATATATTGAAATTCAGATTCTAAAAAGAATATACTTACTTCTGGTTGTAACTTTGGTGGTTTATCTTGATTTCTTGTAGTTTTATAAGCCTTGCCCGATTTCCTAAAGAATTTTTGTTCACTTTCTTTTCTCTCCGTGTTTTTATTCCTTCGTTCTTTTTATAACATCATTAATGACAGAAACAGCAAGAAATCCGTAAAATTAGCACAAATATCTCTGAATGGCGTTTGACACCTGTCTACAGCAATTGACTTTGTGAATACCGATAGCCGCATCTTTTAATGAACATGCTTTTGCAGGGACAAGCAACATAACACATAAAACTATGTCAAGTTAATATCACAAGAAGTTAAAATTTGGCACTTAGCTCTTTTGTAACTTCCACTCTTCAATTTTTAATACGCCCGGCAAAGTGTCAAATCTCACATATACGATGGTTTTTACACAACCGAACTTTCATGGATAGCATTGACCCCAAATTAAAAAAAAACACCCGTTATACAGGGTCAGTCACAGGAGAGTCCATTTTTTTTAAAAACTATTGTCAATGTCAAAACTCCCTCAGAGACCAGACTGTACCACCCTAAAAGCTGCAGATTTGGAGCAGCTGTATTGTAAAATCTCCCTAGATCAGGTTTGAGGTTATATCAGTAATTTTGAAGTGTCAGAATAGCTTTGCGCGTATCAAATTTTATACCAAAAAACACGAAATAAAAACAATAATGACACGGAAAAATACAACTGGACATATACAACTTAAATGGTTTATTCATTTTCAGAATCTGAATCAAAATCGTCTTCCGAATCTGATTCTGTGGAAAGTTGAATTACTATTGGAGGAATGTTCTCAACTGACAGATTTTTCCAGTCCTCTCTAATCAGTTCCTCGCAGTGACGAACACTATTAGCCCACATATCAGGAGTAAAATTTTGAAGTGCCGTTGACCACATTTGTTTTGCCTTTTCGAGTTTAGGACCAGATGCTGATGGTATATGTTTATTATAATAAGTTTTTACAAATCCCCAAGCTAATTTTATGGGGTTGTACTGGCAGTTGTAGGGAGGCAAACGAAGAACAATGTGGCCTTTATTGCGAATTAAATCATCAACTGCATAAGTTTTCTCAAGGTATTGTTTTTTGTCGCGAATAATGGCCCATAACTCTGACTTCAGAGAATCAGGGGGATATGGAGTATTGTTCTCTTGGAGCCACTGGATCATGTCTCTTTTTTTTATTGTTGAGACTGGTACTTTTTTAGTTGCTCGGAATGATATGGAGCATTGTCCATGATTATAACGCAAGTTTTATCAAAACTATTCAGTGCCGGTAGTAACTGTCTTTCGATCCACTCTGTGAAAATTTTGGAGTTCATGTTTTCGATCACAATTATCTAAAAACCCCCTTGCAGTTCCTGCATGGAGAATGGTGAATCTTCTACCCTCACCTTTTAGTCGGTGCGGAACGCCTAATGGATCCGACTCATTAACCCAGGTTTTTACTGGACTTCCGTTTTCATAAATCGACGTCTCGTCCAACAATACAAATTGGTAATTATCGGATTGAAGATACTGTAAATACTTCCGCAAAAATTTAATGCTGTTCGCAATTATATGTGGTTGTTCGATTAAAATTTTTCTGTTGTTAAATGTTTTCCATTTATACCCCATAGCTTTAATAATTTTGTGTAACTTAGACCCACTGCCAGTGTAGTCGTATTCGTTTTTAACAAACCGATGAAGGTCGTCAATGGTAAAGTGTTTTTGATCGGCATGATATGTATGAATTTGCCTTGCCTCTTTTATGTAATAAAATGCTGGATCAACTTTGTAATTAATTTTATGGCGCCCTTTCTTATCAGGAGTTTTTACTCAATCAGATTTCTGAAATTCCTGAAAAATCTTAAAAACAACAGTAGGGTGAACCTAAAAAAAGGATTTTTTAGAGAAATATTAGGGGTTTAATAGCAGATCTTGAAAAAATACATCGAATATGTGAGCAGCTTTACTGCAAATTTCTTTGATAATCATGTTCGGTTTGTCTGTTCGCATTTCTTCACAGAATTTGGTGATCGCTAATTTTTCTCGCTCTGTTAAGGGCCGTCCGGATCCTTGCTTTTGGTAATTCATTTTTATTTTAAATTTTTGCAACTTGGCTTCCAGTTTACGAAATGTTTCAGGACCGGATGCATTCGATTTGGATACCTTTCCAAGAACAGAACTGCAGGAGCACTTTTCTTGCATTCTCTATGGATTAAGAGCATGGCCACTTATTCGTTATTTGTGTAACAATACATTGTATTACTTTTTAAATATCAAATTGAAAAATAAGCAAAATATTCTTGGATACAATTTTATAATTTTTAAAAATGAGGAAGCTAGACGCCTATGTGAATTGTATAATGGGTTGCTGCCCAAATTATTTCAGAACCCTGTATTTAGTTCAGTAGCAAAACACAAAGAATTCTTAAATTTTAATATAAAACTTAAAAAAAACGTATAATTGGTATTAGTTTTTATTAAACTCATTGCTCTTTCAATTCCTCTCTTGCTATTTGGCTGTAATGAGGAAGGGATTCTCTCTTATGATACCACATATCTAATATGAAGTTGTGTTGTTATCTTACCTCAAAAAAACACAGTTGCGACGTTGCCGGTGTGGCGATTGGAATGACGCGAAGTGTATGTCGACATGTCATGTCAATTTTGGTTATTTATTTGGAAAATTTTGGTTAGACAATGACAGAAACATGGAGGAAATGCTGTTCTTTGAAACAACTATCGCTCGAACACGAAGAACCAATCTTATTTGTTGTTTCACAAGTGAGTAAAAATAACTATTTCAGGCRCACATTCAAGGATGGATTTCAGTGGCAAAAAGAGCAAAAACCAAGTGTTATGTATTTGGTCTATCGTTGGATCATCGGTGTTTTTTTCTTCACGACTTTCCTAATCTCTGTCTGCGTTGTGAAGCACCCCGACGCCGACTTGTCGTTCAAAGCCAAATGGTTGATTTACTTGACAAATTGGGGTTACACCATTTGCACCTTACAATCTTTGATAAGTGCTATGGCCCTGTCCATTTGCGTCTTGGCGCTTCGCTTGCGAAAATATCTCAACCTGCAATCTATAACTCTGAAATTTTATAAGTTGTACTGGATGTTGAACGTGATTGCTACTGACACCGCACTTGAGATAACTATACTATACTGGTCTTTAATTTACGATGGTGGGTCAGTGTTCTGAGTCCTCCTGGGTTTAATGAGAGGTTCTTGCAGACAAAGTCATAAGCTTCAACGCTATGAATTTTTTTCTTCACGCTAATAATTCCGTGTTGATGATGATAGATCTGTTTGTTGTGGCGTATCCTACTCGGCTGCTTCACTGCTGCTACTCTGTTGTTTTTGGAATATGTTACATAGTATTTAGCGTCATTTTTTACGCAGCTGGAGGCATCAGCAGGTAAAACCGAGTGATGATCGAATTTACGTCTTAGTTAATCGCTTCTAGAAAAGGAAATGTTTATATCTACAAAATCCTGGACTGGCGAAAACCGTTAACTACGACAGTGATTTGTCTCGCTGCTCTTGCGTTAGTTGTTGTTATACATGTTACTTGTTGGGGATTACATAAATTCAGAATATGGATGCATTCAAAATGTGTTCCGGAAGCTGGAACCCATTGAAATGCATGATATAAGTAATAAAAAGACACGAAAGGGCCCTATGTTAATGAAGGAGTTGCAAATGACATGGTCTCAGTCATCTACCGGCTGGATTATGAAAAACGCTCAAAGCTCAACTCCATTATTTTTAAAGTTATGAAAATACTTCTTAGAACAAACTTGAACATATTTTGTTTTCTGTTTCACTGGAAATGACATCAATTTAATGTTTTTAAATGGAACACCCTGTATGTTTTTCCACTTTTGGATTTTTTGCTTAATTGCCTTTTAAAAGGTTTTAGTACCATATGCCAAAAACCAACCGTTAGTGAGATATTTGTCAAATAATATATTTATTAAAGCAGGAAATGGAAAACAATAATTTCGAGTAATGTTGACAAATGTTAATTCGCATTTTGTCTTACTATTTGTATACTTTTTGGTATCAATCATGGATGATAATGTGTTAACAGACATGATTCAAAAATATTTTGAATGCAAAAAAATAGTGGGAAATCACTACGTCTTTGCACGGTTTCCGATGGGGAAAGTTCCAAATCGTCGAAAATTTAAGCGGTTTGAAGAAAATTTGAGGATATTTAGGGCTTCTAGAAATGTCTTGAATCTTTACAAAATATTCCGACTGATACATACAGGGTGACCCAGGCGTGCGTGCAAGCTCTATAACTTTTTTTTCTATCTAAGCTATTGACTTTTTTTAAATGGTAGGTCTGATAATGAAGCACATCAACATTTCTCATTTTGCAGAAATCTCACAAATTTTACAAAATAGACCCCACAAACTCTACATCGACAAAAAGCTCATAAAATATGCCATGCAATAATGCAATGAAATATAGGGTATTTGAAAAAGTCGAGTTATTGCCATTTGTAATTTGTCACTTTTAAAAAATCGTAGTAAACATCCTGTATTAAATAAAAATATTTTTGAAATGTGCCTCATTATGCAGGGCGTTTCACATAATTTTACGAGGCCTGCGCCTGTAAGATGCAATCAATAATACATATTCCGATACGAACTCGATTACAAAATTTGAAAAATTGGATAATCTTCTCTAGTTTGTTCACCCTTTCAAAAATTACAACATTTTTAGTTAGTTAGTGATTAAGATAGATAAACTAGAATCATATGCATGCCGTCTCTTGATAGAACAAATGATAATTGTTTCTGAAAAACTGCAGTTTATGACTATTAATGAAACAGTGATTAGTTTGACAACTACTGTCATGGGTTTCCAAAAATTAAATAATTAAATGTGTGTTTTTTGTATCCAGTGTTCTGTGACTTCTGTATATTTGGGTGCGTACATTAGGCGCAAGCCTCGTAAAGTTATGTGAAACACACTGTAGAACCTATCCTTTAAAAAAAAATCAAGTCGATAGCTTGGATAGAAAAAAAATTATAGAGCTTGCATGCACCCCAAGGTCAGCATGTATGTATCATCCACGGAGACATCAACAAAATACCGCCATGTGTGACATGCGACATTTTTTAAATGTCATTGAGAAACTCAATGCTGACAATCACAATGTGTCAAATTCACCATATGACGCTTTTATACCAACTTGTCATCATTTTAACAATTGTTATAAAAAAAACTATAGAAGGGAAAATGATGTTTGTTTGAAAAATGACAATCTTCTTAAAAGGAACATCGTTACCATAATTAACTGATTATAATAATAAATAATTTATTAAGGTCGTAGAAAAACATTGTGTTCTACATGTGTGAAACACTTTTTTATGCTCACTCACTCAATGGAGACCTTATGCGCAACTGGCATCTAAAATTCACCGTTTAAACAAAAAAATTATATCAAATCTTAATAACAACAATCGGGTGTATTTGTCCAGTGGTATCTTTGGACTTTATCTAATAACAAATGAATTTTTATTTTGTTTTAAACGCATTTTATAGTTTTTATATTTCTTTTTATTTTGCTGCGCTGCTAAATTTAACTTTCAGAAGGAGTATGTTTATTTAAAATTATTTGTGACATTTGGTTGTGACGTATTTAATCGGTAGAATATGTATTTGTTCTAGTTTTCAATAGTATAATGAACATGTGTAGTAAGGAGAGCGAATAATAATTATTGCGACATTAAACGCGGTGATTGCAGCAAGCGCTTTAGTTAATTGTCGACTTGCTCCCTCATTAACTTACAAGTTAGTTACAATGCTTTTCCGCTGATCGTCTAGACTTTAGACGAAAGCTTCTTTCTATAGGTCGTGGCCTCTTAATGGATCGAAAATGAACGAAACAAATTTCTGTAGGAGTGTTTACTGCTGCAAGCTGGTGAAGCGGATATAGAATTTTTATTATTTATTTTTATGTTATCGATTTTTTGAAACTAATAAACCATACGTTTTGCAGGGAGTTATTCAAGAGCCCATTAAGACTCAAAGGAATAATTCTCTTAAGGTAGGAGTTATAATAATTAAGTTGCATTAACGTATTTGTAAGTCTTTTATACCGGGTGTCTAGTCTCAGTCTCGAACACAGGGAATTAACATGGTATTGTTTATTTTTGATGATTCGTATTCGGCAATACAACCTATAAGTAAGGTGATGGTATCTGTATGAAAGATAAAATTATTTCGCGTCAAATGATTCCAATTAGAATGAAATAGTATTTTATGTATCAAGTACGCAAAATGTTGTTTTAGGGGACGAATCGTAATTAATGACGAGGCGACGTAGAAGCCGAGTCTTTAATGAGATGAGTCCCCTAAAACATTTTGCGTACGTGGTGCATACATAATTTTTTGGTATCAGCTCTGCAAAATATCTTCTGAAAATGTGAATTATTTGAATTCTGAATCGTAAAATGTGGAAACTGTGTGAAAGCGTAGTAGGTGTCATGACGTTATTATGGCAACCAGTTGTTTATCGAAATAACGGTCGTGTTGAAAATGTGTGAAGTTTCGGCGTTCATTTCCGAAAAAGGAAAAATAATTGTTTCGGATTTGCTTCCTGGAAGTCTAAAGCCCAGTATGAAAAAGAATATGCTTCGTTTCGTGATTGGAAGCAGGCAAATGGCGTGACTCTCGTGAACTAAGATGTGATGTTGGCCTATCTGGACGAAAAGGTATGCACTACGGTGTTTGCATCCTGCAGTGAAGAAAGTGGCAGCTTTGATCATGGTACAAAAAGAATCAATTTTGTTGACGTGGTTGCATCAACATCGACGTCAGTAGAATCTTCAAACAAATCCATCACTTCAAATCTGAAAAACCTAACTGAAAAAGCTCTTTTTTTCTGAAAATAGTTTTAAAAATGCCAAAAACTGTAATTTTCATTTCCATTTCTCAATGTAAATTTATTGTTAATTTTGCAATAAAATCATGTTTCTAATGTGTTGCTAAGTTACCTTTCAATCCGCTAAAATGGACAAAAAGTACTAGGCCGCTAAAATAGCATTTTGCGGACTAAAATGAGTTCGCTAAAGTATCATTTTGCGGAGCGTGTACCAAAAATGATATTTTTACTATAATTTTATATAATTTTCAAAGTTATCAATACGTGAAATAAGTATGTGGTATTTGTTGTCAAAAACGTCAAAGTTTTTTTTCAATTTATTTGTAGTTAAGTGAAAATGGATAATTACTTCATTGCAGGGCTTTTATGGTCAAAACGTATTTGATTTTTTTAATTACATTTTGTTGTTTTTAATAAAAACCAATTAAATTCTTGCTTACCTAGATACCTGTTTGTATTATTAAGCAAAGAAATTGGCAAATACTCTTTAACATTATTTCCCTATGTTCGAGTTTGAGACCAGACACCCGGTATTTATATTTAAGTAAATATTTATACATTCAATCGGGTGATTTAAAAATGTGTGGCATGATTTTAACSACGAATATCCCTCTACAAATGAGAATAAATTGCAGAGTACTTATTGACCCACCACAAAAAATTGAAAAATACAGTTTTCCAAATATCAATATGAAAATATAATTTTACTTTGTATTTAGTGAAATTAACATTTAATGTGACAGCATTGACAGCTACGTAGTGGATGGTTTCCAAGATACGCTCAAAATTTATAAATTCTCATTTTGCAGAGGGTGTAGAATACCCAAATAACTCGAGAACGGTATATTTTGACGATCTGAAACAAGAGTACTTTTTTGTAAAAAAATGATTGAGCTTTCAATTTTTGGTATTAATCATGGGGGTTCATAAACCGTAAAAAAAGTTATGATCTCAATAATCTTAATGATCATGAAAGCTATGATTTTGTCCTTTACCATGCAAAGTTTTATAATAATAATATTAACAATTTTGCAAAATTTCAGCTAGGTGAATGGGTAGTTTTGAAATTAGGTTAAAGATGACATTGACAGCATTTAAAAAAAAATGTGATTAATCTCACATGCAGCACACAAATTTCTGTCTTATTATGTTGCAGATAAAACCTAATGATCTTTATAAAACAAATAATTCGGCAGTAATTAGTGTTTGAAGGTAACAGCAATTTAATTGAAATGAACTTAAAATTATAAATACAAACAATAAGAAAAGGTTTTGTCTGGTCGTATTGAAAAGGTTTTCTTTTAAATTATTCAAAAGGGCTGCATCCTGCTCCGAAGATGGCTTTCTAGTMAAGGTCCAATCTTATTCCCACCTGTTCTTTATTCGTAGAACAGTGCTTTTATCTAGCCCATAATGAGTAGCAACTCTTTTYATGGTCCACCCATTGTTTATTTTGGAATGGATCWAAACTTTYCATTTTCTGTCAGTCAAGGCATTTTGAGTTTTCAAATTTAAATGTCAAACTTGATTAATCACAATCACGATCGTAAAATAGACAGGTCTGGAAACTCCATTCATAAATACGTTTGAAATTGAATGATTTTTTCTGAATCGCGGGTGATTTTATTAATTCACTGTTTGACAGCATTTTGGCAGCTAACCACAAATTTAAAAAGCGAATTTTTCTCTATTTCCAACGTTTCTAAATATTTTTGCCGCTTTTGCACAGTTTTTCGGTGTTTTAGGATGGTTTTCTTTGATTTATACTTCATGTTTTCTTGGTTAATATCTTGTTTTCTTTCATTCTGTTCAACTTGATTTTTTATCTAAATTAAATATTAAAAAAAAATTTGGTTTTGAGTTTGTCGTTCAATGTTTTTTGGGTGAAAGAAAAATTGGACCCAAGGGCAAGGGATGAAACTCTAAATACTGTACTGCAAAGAAAAGATAGAAGCTGTCAATTACATTTTGAGAAAAAAGGTACAAATTTAGAGAGAAAACATTAAAACATTTAACATTGAAGCATTTAATCGACTAGGGTTTTGAGTTTTGACATATTTGTATCAGTCTAAGAAGTAATAAAGTACAATACAATAAAGTATAATACTTAAAGTCCTATAGATAAATGAGTTCACAAATGTATCAAGTTTTTAAAAAAATATTTATTTCTTTACTCTGTTTACAAAGTGCCCGCTCACCACAAAAATAGATCCTAAAATTGTCTTTATTGTGACTGTGGTTTTCTTTATTATTCAAAAAAGCTCGCTGTACACGAAGTGGGTTCTGACCAAGTAAAAAACACCATTTTTATATATCTTGGAAGATTGTCATTACAAAATCCTTCTATTGTAACACCAACCTTGATCGCTACCTTATTAGTTAGAATTGGATAACTAAAAAATAACTTATGTATAAAAGTTACTTACTATAACATTATTTATTTGTTGTTTTATTTCTTCAATAACACTTCTTTTCCACGTTTTGTTTTAAAGGTTTTGCATTATTATCATCATAGGTAGCATCTTGTGTAAAGATCAATAACAGCAATGTTTTCTACTCTTTTTTGCTACTAGACGGTAAGGTGGCAATTAATAAATGCTATGGATTGACTCGATAGCATGAACGTTATTCTAAAAACCTCCTCGAAGACTAAATACTCGTAAATAAAACGGCACTTACCTGCCACTTTTATTAAACATATTATACTTTATATGTGGCGCTTATTAAGTTGTTTTTTGCACATTTTTTAACAATTTTAACAAGCCCAGAGTAACCTAACAAATTATGACAAGCGCTAATTTAATATTTGACATTATTTACGCACGGAGACGTCCTTTTTCGTTCATAAATACGCAGTAATTAACGTAGAATCCGATAGAGGCACCACGGGTATAGTTGCCCTCAAAACCTACTGAGATCCAGAGTTTTTAATTCAATTTTGAAACACGAGTTTCCAGACCTGTCTATTTTACGATCGTGATCACAATTATTGAAATTTAAGGTTTGTTTTTTTTATTGTACCTGCACCATAATCCTAAATTAAAACACGCTGCAGCGTGCGTAATTTGGCCTTTATTGCACGCTGAAATTTTAAAGATGTCTAGGTAACAATAAATAGTGAAATGTCAGAACCAATTTTTATTTATTGAAATAAATATTAAAATTACAATTACTATTGTTTGAAATTTCAAAGCCCGCCGCTTTAAGCTGGTTACTGTTATTTCTTATTTCTAATTCATAACTAGTAGAAGCTTTTTCATTTTCATTCTTCTGTTGGACGTCCATAGCTCTTGATTCAGCAACCGATGTGTTCAGAACACCAGCAATGCATTTGGAAACAACTATTTTGTTTGAAGTGGATTCTTCAATATAGCCACTAGCCGCACTCGAAGATTTCCATCCCACCTGACGTTTCAACTAATTGATGCTCATACCACTGTTTGCCATTAATCGTAACTGAGCTTCGTCGGAAAGTATGGCCGGTATATTTCTCAACGTCGGATAGATTCAGAAAACGCGCGACCAAGAAAGGACATTTTTCTAAAGTATTAATCCCAACAACTTGCTTCGTGCATTTTCCGTCAGGAAAACTCGATCTGTAGTCACATTTTCGGGACGCAGAGACAAATATTTCTTGAACAACTGGACGTAGAGTATGTCAGAATTATCAAGAATCGCAAATTTTCGACCTTTTTCCGTTTTAGATTAACATAGCAGAACCCTCTCTCTTAATGTCCGACATCCGTAAATCACACAGTTCATATCTTCTGCATGATCCAAATATTTCGCAAATAGCAACCGCCTGAAAACAATAAAAAAAAAACTTAATTATTTACCGTTTTACCATTGCATTCATGAAGGCTAACATGACGGTTTCGTCCACAATAGCCGAATTTTTCGCTGCCATTCATTTAACTAGTCTGTCGTATTCTTTATAGTACTCAAGTTTTGATTTTTCCGGAATTAATCGCAGTTCTGCTTGTGCTGCTAGCCTTTTAATATCTTCACTCATTTTCTGAACGGATTTTTACAAACGGCAAAAAATGTGTTTAACAACAAACTAGTAACCGTCTCGAAAACGATTCACAAACAACCTTTGATAATTTTATTGTGTAAATTCACATTTTTTCAATGCTCATAAAAGATCGTAAATGGACAGGTAT